CACGGGCCTGGCACAGCCTCCCGAACCGCGCGCAGGCGGCCCGAGCCGCGCGCGGGCCTGGCGCAGTCCGTACGGGCCGCGCGCGGGCCTGGCGCAGCCCGTACGGGCCGCGCGCGGGCCTGGCGCAGCCCGTACGGGCCGCGCGCGGGCCTGGCACAGCCCGTACGGGCCGCGCGCAGGCCTGGCGCAGCCCGTACGGGCCGCGCGCCGGCTGTACGGGCCGCGCGCAGGCCACGACGGGCGACGGGGGGCGACGCGCGGGTCCCCGTCGCCCGTCGTAGCGCCTCCTGGGGGCGACGCGCCGAGTGACGGGGCAGAAACCCGTCGCGCGCCTCGGGGCGCACGGCGGGCAGAAAACCGCCGCGCGCCTCGGGGCGCACGGCGGGCAGAAAACCGCCGCGCGCCTCGGGGCGCACGGCGGGCTGAAAAAACCCTAATTTCGACGCCGCGCACCACGGGGCGCGCGGCGGACAGGGAGTAGCAGTAGCAGCGGAAGCAGTGAGGTGGGGCCCACAGGCCAGGAGCATATCGCTCTAATACCATATGAAGATGAGCAGTAGAAGAAGGCGCCATAGCTAGGAAAGCCCTAGCTAGGCAAGAAACAGTTTAGGCAAAGAGAGGAGTTGCACTAGCAAGAATGAGGATACAAATAGCAAACCCTAGAAGGGTTGTACTCGCTATAGAGCACCCCACTACAGGCTAGAGCATAATATTCTGACACAGGGTTCGAAGGTAACCCTGTGACGAAATCCATGGTAACCTGCTGCCAGGCGCGCTCAGGCGGTGGAATCGGCTGCAACTGACCCGCCTTTCTTTTTCGCGAGCTCTTCATCACCTGACACGTAGGACACGAGCCCACGTGGTGCTGTATGTCGGTCAACAACTCCGGCCAGTAGTAATACCGCTGCAGTTGCTGTCGCGTTTTTTCTACCCCAAAATGTCCCGAGGAAATCCCGTCGTGTGCCTGCTGCAGTAACAGTTCCCTCAGTAGTGAGTACGCGGGTACCCAGATGCGGTTGGTGCCTGTTTTTACGTAATAGACTCCTCTGGCCTCTGCCAGTTGCTGTGAATTTCCGGTCGTGAAAAATGAGTCGGTACTGTATCCGTGGGTGAATAGGCCTGTTAACAGTGGGTTGGTTTGGGCGAGTAGGATGGCGTGGAGGTGGGCGGTGGGGCGTGTGAGTGCGTCGGCGATGTTGGATGCGCCTTTTTTGTACGTGACTGTATAGTGGAAATTGGACTCCAGATAGTCCAACCAGCGGATCTGTCGTGGGTTGAGATTCGGTCGGGCGCGAAGGTACTGTAGTGATCGGTGATCTGTCCGTACTGTCATGTCTGCTCCCGTGAGGTAACATCGCCACACTTTGAACGCGTGCACGATCGCCAGCATTTCGCGGTCATGTATCGGGTAGTTTCGTTCGGGCGGGTGAAGCTTGCGGGACTCGTATGCGATTGGCTGGAGGCCGTTCCTGAAGTCCTGCAAAAGTACTGCTCCCACAGCGATGTCGCTAGCGTCGGTGACGAGCTCGAACGGACAGTGCGGATCTGCGATGTGAAGTACGGGCGGTGAGCACAAAATGTTTTTGAGGGCCGAGAAGGCAGCCTGCTCTTTCTCCCCCCACGTGTACTCAACCCCCTTCCTCAGCAGGTCAGTCAACGGGGCAGTCAGCTTCGCCAACGAACCGGCGCACGTAGTTGACGAACCCCAAAAAACTCTGCAACTCGGTCAACTTGGTCAGCGCGTGCCATGCTTGAATCGTCGCAATTTTTTCGGGTCTATTTCCACTCCTGCAGCTGAAATGACGTGTCCCAAAAACTCCAGTCGAACCTATAAAAACTCACACTTCGACGCTTTTGTGAGTAGGCGGTTCTCACTCAGTATCTTCAAGACGGCTTCGATGTCCTGTAAGTGTTGTGCTCTGTCGGGGCTGTAAATCAGTATGTCGTCCAGGTATACGATGACGCACTTATCTAAAAGCGGGCGGAAGGCTTCGTTCATGGTCATTTGAAAAGTGGCGGGGGTGTTGGTCAGTCCGAAGGGCATGACGGTGTATTCGAAGGATCCGTAGCGTGTTCGAAAGGCTGTATTAGGGAAGTCGGGTGGGTAAACGCGAATCTGGTGGTAACCCCCTCGAAGGTCAATTTTCGAGAAAACCCGGGCTGTGCGCAGTTGGTCGATCAGTTCGTCGGCTCGCGGGATGGGGTAACGGGATTTGATGGTAACCCTGTTCAGTGCTCTGTAATCTATGCACATGCGAAATCCGCCGTCTTTTTTCGGTGTGAACAGTATCGGTGCTGCGAAGGATGACGAACTAGGGCGGATGAATTCCTCCTCGAGCATATAATCCAGCCGCTTCCTCAGTTCGTCCAGTTCGGGTTGGGTCAGTCGGAACTGTCGCTGTACTGTCGGCTGTGCCCCCGGTTCTAGTTCTATCTTGTGGTCGTGCGGTCGCTGAGGTGGCAGTCCCGTTGGTAAGTCGTCCGGGAAGATGTCGCTGTACTGCTTCAACAGTGCGGCCAGATCATTCGGTACGTCAGCTAGCAGTTTCTGTAAATCCCCTCATTTGTCTGCTGCCTCGGCTTCCCGAATGTCAACCGCATACACGTCAGCTCCTGCCGCTACGGCACGTTTCATCGTGATCGCGTTGACACGCACCGACGAAGACTCAGGTGAGCCCCAGCGAGGTAGGGCGATGTTGTTACCGTTCACTCGCACAGTGCAGTCACCCGTCGTCCAGTCGATTCGTGGATTGTGTCGTCGCAGCCAATCACGCCCGAGTAAAATATCGGTTCCGTCGAGGGTCGTTGCGAGCATTTCCTGGCTAAACGTGAAGTTACCCCCGCATCGAATACGAACTCGGTCCACCCGTTCCCGTATCGCCAGTGGCGTGCCGTCGACCAGTCTTGCGTCGATCTCAGGTAAGCATCTGTCCAGTGGCAGTCGCAGTTTTCGTGTTGTGGCAGTGTTGATAAGACTGTGGCTGGCCCCTCCGTCTACGAAGATTTTAACTAAGTCCGTCCCAATTTTCCCACTAAGCAGTATAGGGCTGTCTACCGTAGTACCCTCCTTATTCGGCCGGGTGTGGTCGATTGCGTGAACCGGCACAATCACTCGGTGAGGGTCGGTTGGGTCGGGCGAGCGGCGTGACCTGTCAGTAGAGGGCCCGTCTGCTACTGACTCCCAACGTTTCCCTGCTGCTTGGTCTGTTTCTGCTGCTCAACTTCCCCCTTTCCCTTAGCGTTTTCCGGGCATTCGCTCTTAAGGTGTCCCGGCCGATTGCACGCAAAGCAGCGCCCTTTGAACGGTGCGGCAGCGGCATTTGCGGCGACGGCACGTATCGTAGCGCCCTCGTTCGTCCCACGAGGCCGATGTCCCCAATTGCTGCTTCCGTAGGACCCCGGTCTCGGTCGGCGGAAGAAATCGAGTTTCTCCCCCATGGCGAGAATCTCCTGAAAGTCGGTGACGCCGCGAAGCTGGATTTCCTGAGCGATGTCCTGCTTCAGGCCGCCGATGTAGCGGTCGATGCGCTCGCTCTCATGCATGTATCCCACCTGCTCGCATAGCGCCAGAAACCCGCTCGTGTAGTCTTGGACGGAACCGAGTTGGCGCCAAGTACGGAGCCTCTGTCGCGCCGCGATCGAAGCCGCAATCGGCTCGAAACGAGCGCGCAGACCTGCGCACCACGCGTCCCACGTGCGATACTGGGGCACCTCCACGAAATGCGACGGCGCCCATGGTCCGGTTTGTCCTTCCCGTGTCGGTAGAGTCGCGTAGTCCACCGGCTTCGTGACGATGACGCGCCACCAGTCCATGGCGGGTCCTCGCAGCAACGACACGGCGTATCGGATCTTTGCCGTATCCTCCGAGACGTAGTTCGCGTCAAAGAAAACGTTCAACGTGAAGAGCCACGCCTGAACGGTAGGACCACCCCGCTGACTTGGATCGAAACATGGCGGACGCTGCGGCTCCAGCGGCATCGGCGACGGTAGGGTTGATTCGCCGGCCGGCACTGAAATTGTAACTCGAGGTTGATTCCTGGCCGCATTCGTCGCGTCGGGGTGTGTCGTGCCGTGGTCGTCGTCTCCGTCATGGCGGACGACGCCATCACTTGCGGCGCTCGCGGGTTGCCCCACACTTCCGTGTTGCGATGCCTGTGGTGCGGGCTGAATCGGAGTGCTAGGTGCTTGGGATTGTGCTCGTGCGAGGTCGTTTTGCAGGGAGGTGCGTTCCGCCGTTAATGCTGCGATTTCCTCGGAGCTTTCGTGCAGTTGTCGCAGCAGCTCGTCCAGGCGGTCCTGCGTGAGGCTAGTGACGTCAATGCGTTCAGCCATGTTGAAGGGCGTCGGCTCGTCTTAGTCTAGGCGCAGTCGTGGCTGCACGCGTTTACGAGAGAACGCGAGGACAGCGGCTCCTAGGGGCTAAGGTGCGTGAGTCCCTTCGAGTGTAAAATCAAAAGTTGATTTCTTGGGGTGTGGAGATGCGCGGTCCGAAAAGGAAAGAGTCTCTGAATACCAAGTGTTACGGGTGCAATGAATTGAAGTAGCGAGAATTGCACTAAGGTGTCAAACGAGTACAATATGTGAGCGAAGGCATGAGCGAACATTTATACGCGAAACATGCAAACAGGAACGCGGTGCGTGCGAGCTAGCTAGTGCTATGCTGGAAGCGAGGCTCGGACTAGTCCCGAAGCGTAGGCCGACACGGCCGGTCCAGCAGTGCGAGGTTTGGGAAAACAGTGCGCGCGAAGTCGGCGAAGCCCCGTTAGCAGTAACGGGCGAACAAAGGCTGCTGCTGTACGCGATGTTGCAGGGTGCGCTAAGGAATATCGATGGAACACTCCAATGGGGACTGCTGTTCTGTTTTGTGATCTGTTAGGGATGGTAACATGCAATGCACTTGAGCTGCGAGCACAGAAAATACACAATCTATGCTGATCTAGTCGGTTTTAACCTATTTAATAGGCATAATATAAAGGATACCTACGGTAGTACCGATATGCCTACGCACTCACACCCACATTAGCACGAGGGGCATCTCCCATCCACACCTTAATCTTCCTTCCACGCCCCTTGGTGTGCGTATCCACATCCAACAAAGATGCCCAGAACTTGTGCAATCCACTCTTCTTGCTGCCACCACCACTCCTGCTGCTGCTGTTCTTGCTGCTGTTATTTTCATTGCTACTGCTGCCGCTGCTGCCCTTGCTGCTGTCACTGCTGATGCTGTTTGAGCTCTTATGCGCAATCATGTTGGAGGAGGCTTCAGAGGAAGCTTCTTCCAGAGGAGCCACCAGATGCCACTCTGATGCCCCAGGTGAAAACTCAGGCAGGAAAAGCGTGGATGCTTTGAAGGTCCTGCCGGTGCCAGCTGTCCTGCTGTCTACAGATGACATGACCCGAGAGCTGATGTCACGACCTGGCGTGGCCAATGCCTGGTGCTGACGTGGCATGTGCTGACGAGGATGCTGCTGCTGCAGCTGCTCCTGCATAACCATTTTTGGAGCAATAAACCTAGCGCTGCCTCCAAAGTTGGGATGGCGAGAGCTGTAACCGGCCGTACCAGCTGGCGTAGGGTTACCACCACCTAAGACCGTGTTACTCGCCCCAATGATTTCTACACCCGTGATTTCTTCCTCCGCATCATTGAATTTCGCGCTGTAGATGCCACTGCTGCCCCCCATATCGGCCCCATCAATGTTACTGTAAAGAACGCCTGGTTGGTATTGCACCCCGCTGTTCTCCGGTACAATAAATTTGGTTAAGGGAACGGCGCTGGGATGGATCAACATTCCGGGAGAGGAGGAAGAGTGGTGAAACGAGGCCTGGGAGATATTAAGACCAGGGGAGGAGGAGGTATGGTTAATGGGCGCCAGGGGCAGTTTAGGAGAGGAGGATTGGTAGAGTGGGCCTACAGTCATGCCCGGGGAGGAGGAAGAGTGGTGGAGTGGACCTAAGGGGACGCCAGGAGAGGAGGACGACTGATGAAATGGGCCATGGGGCACACCAGGGGAGGAACTGGCATGGTGGTGAGGGATGGGGAGCGGTGCCGATGGGTGCTGGAAGTGGTGAATCTGCTGCTGCGATTTCGCCCGGAGTGCGAACTCCTTGCTCTGCCGTCTGGGATTCTGGCGGGTTTTGATTGGAGAGGCGGAGGCGGAGGCGGAGGGGGAGGGGGAGGAGCGGGGGGAAGAGTGGGGCCGGGGGGAGAACCCGAGGTGGGTCAGGAGAGAGGATGAGAGGGACCGGAGCGTGGGGTGCTGCTTGTGCTGCTGTGTGTTAGTGGAAACACCTGAAAAGGAGGAGTGGGACGAGAGCTTGTGGGGAAGATCCCCTGCTGTCGCGGCTGCAGCAGCAGAAGCGGAAGGGACGGCAGGAGGCAGAGGGAACGCGGCTGTAGCAGCAGCTGCAGCAGCAGCAGCGCCAGCAGGAGCGCGTGGGTGATGCGTGTCAGGCGCGTGCTCGGCACGTGGCTGGTTGAGGACGAGGTGCTCCGGCAGCCCATGTGTGAGGTCGAGCTCCTCGATGCGGATGTTGGCCTGGTCCAGCCACGCGCACGACGCCTCCAATTCTGCCACAGAAATGGGACAAAAGACGAAGAGATAAATTAAAGAAAGAAAATCGAGAAATGGGACAAAAGAGGACACGCGGAAACAAAGGAATGAGAAAGAACAGGATAAGGAGTGAGGTTGAGCTTCTCGATGCGCTTTTTAGATTGATCCCACCACGTACGCAACGCTTTTAAATCGGCAAGGACAGGACAAGACGAGACAGGACAGGACAAGACAAGACAAGACATGAGACGCGAGTCAATGCAAAAATTCTCCTGATCTAATAATGAGCCGGATACGACCCCGCGGACGAGATCTCTGTTAATAGAAGCATCCCCAGGTGCAACTTCAGGTGAATCAATCTTCACGAGAAGCTCCAAGTCTCATTGCGCGCACCTGTCCATCGGTTCGACTTGGGAAGCGACTCGAGATACGCGTCGAGGTCCTCCTCCGCGCACGCCGCGTAGTCGTACTCGTTACAAGCCTCCGCGTCTTCGTGATCCTCTGGGAGCAGCGTCAGCGGCTGGAAGCGGCAGTCTTGGGGAGCTCCGCCTTCCGCGACAGTGCTCGCCCCTGGGAAAATCCGGCGGAGGGGGGGACGCAGGAAAAGAGAAGGGGGGGGGACAGGAGCGGGCAGGAAGAGAACCGGACGAGATGAATAATTCAGGACCGGAAATCGCGTGAACTGAGTCGTGTTTTGAGTCGACTCAAAACACAACAGATCAGGATCGGCAATCGCGGCAGTCGGGGAGAACTCCGCCTTCCGCGACAGCGATCGGTCCTGGGAAGAGTCGGCGGAGGGAAAAAACGGGGGAAGGAGGAAGAAAGGAGCGAACGTGAGGGAAGCAACAGCATATAAGAATCAGAGAAATGTGAAAATATAGCAAAAGCTGAGCGTCGACAATGTTTCGATGGTCGGTCGCCGTAGGGCGCAGGAGGATGGGGAGGTGGAAAGCGATCGGGGGAGAAATGCAGTTCCCTCCCCCCTTCCTTTTCCCTCTGCAGAAGAATCCAGTTCGGCGAAGTTGGAAAGTTTGAGCAACGTGATCGACCAGTACACTGTACGATACGATAGTACCTCGTTCTTTTCAGAACGGGCGGTACTCAACACCTGGATCGTGTGCGTATACGTGTTTGCCCGTCGTCGGCGCTGCTCTTTTTTTTTTTTTTTTAACGGGATTTTGCCTGCCCTTTAAAGAAAAGAGCAGCGCGGCGCGCACATGGGACGGAATAAAAATGGTGTGACGCTTACATTGGTCGATGTCTTTGCGCTCCGGGCACCAGCTGGTGTAGCGAGTGGAGTGGAAGTCGGCGACAGTCGTCATAGTGGCGGCGACGACGGCTGATGCTTGGCGACAATTGAAAATCCACAAAGACTTCCCAGACGACGCGAATGGAGCCAAGGAGAGGTGCTAACAAACCTCCCGACAGAGCTGCTAGGACGGCGCGTGAAAGCTGCGTAAAGCACTGGGACAGCAGCGAGCTTCTAGGCACCTCAAAATGACGAGCGTGAGAGTATTCTGAACTGAAATACTGAATTCAAAATTTACCCCCAATTAGGCTTTCCACACGGGATGGGGTGGAGCGGAGTACGGTTTTGTGCGTTCTACCAGAGTGGAAGAGATTCGTGTGGTTAGGTATTCACCAAGCGAAGTCGCGAGAAGTTTAAAGGGGAAAGTGTGGGGAAAGCGAAAGTGATAAGCTCGATTGCTGGAAAGCGGGCCTCGCTGCATCAGCGCCTCCAAGATTGCTGCAATCCTGCAGGGAGTCTGTGCGGCAACCAGTCCAGGTGCGGAAAAGCCCAAACATACGTTCGGCGCGCTACACCTCTAGGCTGGGCGCGTCAAGCAAAAAGAAGACAGCTCCTGGTTGGCTTAGCGCTTGGTTCCGGAAAAGCCGAACCTACAAGGCTAGCAGAAGCTTCTGTTGAGATTGCTAGTCCGGAACACCGAACGAAAATCTAACGCGGATAAGGCTTCACGCTTCGGCCTGGGCCAGGCGACACCTGCAATGAACCACCGAACCGGAACTGCAACAACGTGCGGGCAGCTTCGACACAAGTATCTCCGAGATTCTGGGCAGCCCCACTGTACATCCAGTCATGGAATTCAAGCTTTGCCAGGCCTTCAGCGTCACAATCGTTTGCTGCTCTACAGTAATAGAGGAACCACAGAACGTCGCATGGGGATATTGACAAACGAGCGCTGATTCGCCAAAACGAATCGTTGACAACACATTTACTGGTTAGGCTATACCTTGACGGAAGTCCATTGGTTAGAAATGTGCCGCCAATGCTGCCAAGTAGTATCAAATATCACAGCAGCAGTGGTCCGCGTACGGGATGTAGGGAGGGTATAAATACACTCACAAAGTAATGGTCAATATTTGAGATGTGACACATATACTGACAGGTATACTTCAATTGAGCGTTTTAGTAATTCGGTCACCAATTTGCTTCCATTGAACTCATGACTTAGTATTTACATCTTCTTGGGCCTCATGGCATCTCCGCTAGCCTCCAGATCCTCAACCCTTCTGTTCAGTCAACAACACGCAAGTATCCTCTGCCCATCGCTGTGACAGCTCCTCAAATTACAAGTACGCATCCTCCAGCAACTCTCGAGTACGCTCCTCTTGAGAGTTCCCAGACGCAACTCCCCCGAGTCCCCAGTGAGCTGTTTGCTCCTCGCTCCTGCTTCGACACAAATCTGATCACCCGTAATATTTACTACTTCTTACGCCTCTTGCCATCTCTACTGGCAGTTACACACTCCTCCATTAATTCCTTCGCAATCTTTTCAAATTGCACACAAGCAATCTCCGCCGATCGCTGCGACAGCTCCTCAAATCTTGAATTAGCATCCTGCAGCAACTCCCGAGTGAGCTCATCAAACTGAACACATGCATTTCTCACTGCAGCACCCATGGCTGCAGTCAATCTCTCCCCCACCCTCTCACCCACCCTCTCGCCCAAAACCCCTGCACTCGAATCCGTTCCACCTCCTGTGAACCCCTCCGTTCCCGTCCTTGCAAATCTTCTCTCATTCCGCTCCCGCTGCTCCCGTCTACCAGCCCTACCACGCACGGCTCCCCCCCCAGCAGCCAAATTACCCGGTGACGCCGCCGCTAGTCTGTAGGCTGCAGCAGGCTCATAACTTGTCGGCTGGAAATTTGCAGCAGGCAGGGCTGCTGTAGCAAGAAGAGGGGATGTAGCGGGCAGGGGGGCTGTAGAGCCAGCAGCCAACGTAACCCTGTTACCAGGCAGGCGCAGCAGCCTGTTGTCGAATCCCCCATACCTTTGCAGGGAGTCACCAAATTTTCGCCTTAAGTCAATCGGGTCTGTAGCGGTGGGAATAGGGTTGCCTCTTCTTGTAGGGTTGACTTTGTTGCGCAGGCACTGCAGGTAATTGTCAGAGGGTTGCCTCGACAAGGGAGAGGCAGTGGCCGGCGCTGCTGCTGGTAAAGGGAGAGGCGCGGATTGCAAAGGCAATGGTAGTAGCGGTAACGGAAATGGTAATGGGGAGGGCCCACTGTTTCCCTGCTGCTGATGTTGCTGCTGCGGCTGCTGCTGTTGTTGTTTCTGCTGCTGCTGTTGTCGTTGCTGCTCCAGCTGCTGCGGCTGCTGCTCCCCCCGCTGCCCACCAGTCTCTTCCCACCCTAAACCAATCCTCTCAGGAAACGCGTACGCTGACATTTCAGCAGGCTGATTCGTTGCAGTAAAGGCCGTCGCGACAACAGCTGCTGCTGACGCTCTAGCTGCTCTTCTAGTCCTTTTCGCAGCAACATCTTTCCTCGCCTGCAGCTCAGTCCGATAGAACATGCGAATGTATTCAAACCATGCTGGTGGTTTCGACCCATTCCTACCGAATGTGCTCTCCTCTGCTATGGCCCGCTCATCCGCGTTAGTAGACCCCCCCTGCCGCTGTTGAGCCGAGCCCCCCGCCTGCTGCTCCGCGCTCCCTGCCTGCTGCTCCGCGCTCCCTGCCTGCTGCTCCGCGCTCTCCGCCTGCTGTCCCCCCACGCCCCCTGCCCACTGCTCTGCGCCCCCCGTCTGCTGTCTCGCGCCACCTCTCTGCTCCGCGCCCCCCGCCAGCTGCTCCGCGCCCCCCGCCAGCTGCTCCGCGCCCCCCGCCAGCTGCTCCGTGCCCGTCGTCCCATTTGCGGGGCACCACCCCGTCCCCCGCCGCTGCCGCCGCTTCCGCCGTGGATCGAGAGTTTCCGCGTCGTAGCGCGATTTCATGCGCTTCCACTGCTGCGACATCGCCGTCGGGATGCGCCGCCATTCGGGATTCCCCCGCCGGATCACGCGCCACACCTGCCGCCAGTAAGCGTTCCCCCTGCTGCCTCTCCGCCGCGTGACTTCCCCGCTGTGCCGGCAGAAAACGACAGCCGCTGCGAGCTCCATCAGCTCCGCGTTGCTCCACTGCCGCATCTTCCGCGCCGCGTGCTCCGTTAATCCCTCCCCTTCCGTTTCGCCTGCCTGGATTTCGTGCCATGGGACTCCGAAATCCCGTTCCCCCACGCGACCCACCTCGGCCTCTGCATCGGTTTCCCACTCTCGATCCGTTTCTCTGACTCGATCCGTTTCTCCGTCTCGAAACATATCGTCTGTTAAGTCAAACGGCCTTCCTGGCAGCCCTCTGTGGTACTCGTCGATATCGTACGAGTCGCCCGACTCGCCGTCGTTTTCGGCGTCGCTTCCGCCATCGTCGCCATCGCCGTAGTCGTCGCCGAAGTCGTCGCTGAAGTCGTCGTTACCGTCGGCATCGCAGCGGGTCAAGGCGGCAGCGTGCTGCTCCTTGATCCACCGAATAAATGGCGGGTCGGGTGTTGGAATCGACGCCTGACCGACTTCCGCGCTGGTGTGGCCTGGTATGCCGCTAGCGGCCCGCTCTTTGGAAGACATGAACTGGTTGACTTTTGAGTCGACTCAAAAGTCAATCCGCGCTGGTCTGGCCTGGTATGCCTTAGCTGCCCGCTTTCTGGAAGACATAAACTGGTTCAGGAAAGTTACGGTTGCCCAGGCGAGACGGAAACTGTACTACCCAGCTGAAGGAGTTACGAATTCCTGATGTTGAGAAAATACCTCTCAATGCAGGGGAATGTAGCGTGGAGGTCAGACCATACTGACAAGTAGAACAAGAAACAAAACGGTAGGATGTTCAGAAAAAAGGGTCTGGTAACTCTGACCCCTGAGGAAAATTGAAAATTCTAACGGGAATGCGTTTGGTTGAAGAGTCCCATTTCAAAAACCCAAGGGATCGTATACGGTTCTTGAATTTACAAAAGGGTTGTAAAGGGTTGAATTATCTGAAAAGGGCTGTCACGTCCAACCCGACCTCTAACGACAGATCCTTTTCAATTTTCGCGAAGCTCGCGAATGCACGATCAAGCAAAAAGACGCCATCGCAAAATTTGGTCTGTTACTGATGGCGGTGAGGGGTGGTCTGTCCCTTTGAATCGAGTACAGTACAAGGCCAAAATATGTTGCGGAACTCGGGCTGACATGAAATGTGTCATTGTAAGGAATTTTCTCGACATTCCTTACCACGACCTGCAACATCGCATACAACAGCAGCCGTTGTTCGCCCGATACTGCTAACGGGGCTTCGCCGACTTCGCGCACACCGTTTCACCAAACCATGCACCGCTGGCCCGACCGTGTCGGCCTACGCTTCGGGACTAGCCCGAGCCTCGATGCCAAACTAGCAATAGCTAGCTCGCACGCACCGCGTTACCGTTTGCATGTTTCGCGTATAAATGTTCGCTCATGCCTTCGCTCACATTTTGTACTCGTTTAACAACTTAGTGCAATCCTCGCTAACTCGATTCATTGCACCCGTAACACTTGGTATTCATAGCTACTTTTCTTTCGGACCGCGCATCTTCGCACCCAGGGAAATCAACTTTTGATCTTTCACTCGAAGGGACTTACGCTCCTTAGCCCCTAGGAGCCGCTGTCCTCGCGTTCTCTCGTAAACGCGTGCAGCCACGACTGCACCTCGACTAAGCTGAGCCGACGCCCTTCATAATGGATGAACATATCGATGGCACGACACTCACGCAGGACCGCTTGAACAAGCTACTGCGACAACTGCACGAAAACTCTGAAGGAATCGCGGCGCTGACGGCGGAACGCACTTCCCTGCAGAATGACGTCGCATGAGTACAACAAACGCAATCACAAGCACCTGGCACTCTGGTACAGCTTGCACCACAAGCATCACAGCACGGAAGTGTGGGGCAACCCGCGAGCGCGGCCAGTGATGGCGTCGTCCGCCACGACGGAGACGACGACCACGGCACGACACACCTCGAGGCGGCGAATGCGGCCAAGAATCAGCATCGCGTTACGATTCCGGCACCGACCAACGACTCGGCATTGCCGTGACCAATGCCGTTGAAGCCGCAGCGTCTGCCATGCTTTGACCCGAGTCAATGGGGTGGTCCTACCGTTCAGGCATGGTTGTTCACGTCGAACGTGTTTTTCGACGCCAACTACGTCTCGGAAGATACGGCGAAGATTCGTTACGCCGTGTCGCTGCTGCGAGGACCCGCCATGGACTGGTGACGTGTCATCGTTACGAAGCCGACGGATTACGCGACTCTACCAACACAGGAAGGACAAACCGGACCTTGGGCGCCGTCGTATTTCGTGGAGGTGCCCCAATGTCGCACGTGGGACGCGTGGTGCGCAGGTCTGCGCGCTCGATTTGAGCCAATCGCGGCTTCGATCGCAGCGCGTCAGTAGCTCCGCACTTGGCGCCAACTCGGTTCCGTCCAAGACTACACTAGCGGGTTCCTGGTGCTGTGTAAGCAAGTGGGCTACATGCACGAAAGTGAGCGCATCGGCTGCTACATCAGCGCCCTGAAGCACGACATCGCCGGAGAAATTCAGCTCCGCTGCCTCGCCGATTTCCAGGAAATTCTGGCCATGTCGGAGAAGCTCGACTTCTTTCGCCGACCGAGACCGGTGTCCTACGGAAGCAGCAAAAACTGGGGACATCGATCTCGTGGGACGAACATGTGAGAATCACGAGGAATGAATGACTAAGGAATGAGTGTGATCCAAAATGTGAAACCCTAGAATTGTGTACCCCTTAGTATCTAACCCGCTACAACCTACACAGGCTAGATCATATAAGTCTGACACACCCCCATAGGCAAAGTGGGGGAGAACAAGGGGTCACAAGACCAGTCAAGCAAAGCAAAGCAAAGCAAGCTCAGGGTGGATCACAACGTCACCACACATTCTGAGCACAAGTTCAAGGCCACAAGGCCAGTTCGCATGCAAGATTATATATAAAGGTAAACAAGCAAGTGCAGGTATAGATAGATCACAGTACAAGCAAGGTCAAGAAGTGAGCAAGTGAGGCCAAGTAGGCACAAGACCTAGCATCGTACAAAAGCGCTGATGATCACAAGGCGGAAGTGCCTTGGTAAAGATATCAGCAGTGTTGGCCTGAGAGGCCACGTAAGCAAGGCGCAACTGACCACGCTGCTGCAGCTCACGAGCAAGGAAGTAGCGAAGAGCAATGTGCTTCGTTCTGTGCTCCAGTCTGTGCTCCCGACACAAGGCCAGCATGGCCTTGTTGTCTACGTACAGAACTGGAGGAGAACGAGGCGGCTCTCCTAGGTCAGTCAGCAGGTAGGTGAGCCAGCGTAGCTCCTGTGCAGCCATGGCCCCCGCGTAGATCTCAGCCTCACAGCTGGAGCCGAGAACAGAAGACGAGCGGGTAGACCGCCACGAAACAGAGCCGGAACCAAGGCTGAAGGTGTAACCCTGTGACGACCGCTGCGTAGCCTGGTCGTCAGCCCAAGAAGCGTCTGCGTGACCTGTGAGGACCACTGAACGCCGCCCTCCAAGCACTAGCCCCATGCCCGACGTACTGCACAAGTAGCGCAACACCCTCTTCGCTGAAGCCATGTGCTCTGGTCGGTGTCTCCCAGGAGCAACATAGCGTGCCAAGATGCTAAGAGGGTATGCAAGGTCAGGTCGAGTGCAGGTCATCAGGTACATGAGGCAGCCAACAAGCTCTGGGTACGGGCCACTCGGCTCTACGGACTCATCCGAAGGCAGAGCTGAGAGCGAGTGGCGAGTGGACAGAGGAGTGGCCTGAGGCGAGGAGTACGTGAAGTCGAAGCGCTGAAGGACCTGCTGCACCATGTGTGACTGAGTCAGGGTAATGGTGCGCTGTGCTCTGTCCCGGGTGATCTGCAAGCCAAGGTAGCTGCGCAGTTCACCCAGGTCTGTGCACGTGTGTCTCTTCTGCAGCTCGGACTTCACGTGGGCGAGTCCAGCAGTGTCAGCAGTGACAAAGACCAAGTCGTCGACGTACACGAGGATGTAGAACGGCGGCAAAGAGGTGTCGGTGCGTAGAAACAACGACGGGTCGGCAGTAGAAGGAGCAAAGCCAAGAGCCGCAAGTGTAGTCCTCAGTGTGTCGTGCCACTCACGGGGCGCCTGACGGAGACCGTAGACTGGCCGCCGGAGGCTCCACTGGGTACCAGGAGGAAACGACCCAGTGAAGCCAGGTGGGCGGCGCAGCCAGATCTCCTCGTGCAGGCTGCCCTGTAGGAAAGCTGTGTTGAAGTCAAGAGAGTGAAGCTCGTAGTCGCGCTGAGCGGCTATGTGCAGCAGCACCCGAAGAGTGGTCATCTTCGGGGTGGGAGAGAAGGTCTGAAAGTAGTCAACTCCCTGCCGCTGACTGAAGCCTAGAGCCACGTAACGCGCCTTGAAGACAGGCGGAGAACCCGGCGGCCGCTTCACCCTGAAAATCCACATGCCACTGACGATGTTCGCCCCAGGTGGGGGAACCTCGTCGACGTAGGTGCCTGTGGACTTCCAGGAAGCCATCTATGCGTCCATGGCTGACTGCCACTGTGAGGAGTAGGTCCGAATGGCTTCACTATCAACTCAGGAAGAAAATTTCTCTATATTTCTTGGCGACAACTTATGGCAACATGATGCTGACATGAAGAAACATATCATGGTGGATTCTACGGAAGAACATTTTCAGGATAAGCCTATGTCGCTGGAGGAAACAGGGCTATGGCGCCACGTTACGACTGCGGTGTGAAAAGCTACTCAAAATTCTGTCGCGGATGCAGCTGCTCCTATCTTCCCTCAGAAAGTGGGGGTTGCCCCCAGCATTCAGCTCACGCAACTGCCTGCCATAGGAGGCTTTGGTGTAGGGGCACAGCTGCTAGGCAGCAACTTCGAACCAGGGCAATTTCTGCTCTCCCAACCCAACCCCACCACTCTCGGCGAATCAGATTTGGAGCCAAAGGACCAAGACTGAACATCCGTCACCAAGTCCGATCGCCTCAGCGTACGATCGAGGAGTCGGGATGTCTGGTGCATCCGGGTCTCCCTCAGGGGCAATCAGCATGGACACGAGATGAGGCAAAGCAGCAGCAAAACACTGGAACTCCTCCTGCCTGTCCTCAAGGACGTCCGTGCTAAGAGCACACTCACCCCCGACGGACGGAGGACAGACAGACTCAGACTCAGCAACAAGACTAGCGGCGTAGTCTAGACGACAGCGAGCAGCAAAGTCGACAAGCTCAGCAACTAAGGCAGACGCAGCAGTGGACTCAAAAGAAGGGTCAGTGACAACAGTAGCCAGGAGTCGCGTGACAGTAGGACTGGCAGTACGAAGAGAGTCAGACTCCGGGTCAGCAAGAGTAGGAAGAGAGGACTCTGGAGGAGACGGCAACGGGACACGCAGAGGAGCAGTGGAAGGACGCAGTGCCATTTGGTGTGTGCCCGGGACGGCAGGAGGACGCAGACGCGGAACACGACGACTAGTACGAGCAGCACGAACAGGCGACGCAGGACGAGACGCAGGCTCACGACGCTCAGCAAGACCTCCAGTAGGACCAGTGTAGGGAGAAGGAGCAGGC